TCTTGCTCATTTTGCTTCCGAGTAACATGCAAACCGGGACGGAAAACATGAAATTTTGCAATAATCTTGCGCCACCCTTGCACAAAACGACGATCATTTTTCTAATTTCATAGATAACAGAAGACCCTGTATGGAGCAATGAAAATGTCCGGAGGCTATCGAATCACCTTTGGCCGAAATAAATATTCGAAAAATAGCATTCGCAATTGATTAGCAGACAAAACCATCGTTGGCAACCAAACTTTGAAAATTCCTAAAAGCACTGACCGCCTTCGAGGCCAAATGCCGCCTCCTGCTAGGAAAACTGGATCATTATCACTTAATTTACTTTCAAATAGAATTATTCTTTTCTAGAAGCTGCAGGATGATCATCATCTTCACCGCTTAAAAATGGAGCTCTAAAAACTGCCACTAAAAAGCGAGATTTGCTATTTTACTCCCGATTTGCTGGTCGTTTCACAAATACATTCGTTCTTTATTTATCTGCACGAAAACCCGTACGTTCGACTCACTCTTCATTTGTCTTCAGTGTTCCCAAACTTGCGGAGGAGGGACTCAAACGCGATCGGCAAAGTGTGTGGATGAAAACAACATGCCCATCGATGATGCCCATTGTAGCAGCTCCGAGAAAATTGTGAAGCAAATCTGCAACATCGAAGAATGTCCCGATTGGATTGTTGGAGAAACATCTGCGGTAAGTTGAAGAACCAGAAGTGTCTCCTTACATTGCCATTGTCGGGTATTTTAGGGATTTTTAATTTTTTTTAAGTTTCAAACGGGTTTGTTAAAAATGTCCTTTTCTAATCGTTAAACAGTGTTCAGTACCGTGCGGTGGTGGTTACCAAAACACGACGTACTATTGCGTACTAACTGGTCGCATCTACGACGCAATGGCTTGCGATCAAAGAACAAAACCTCCAAGTTCCAAAAAATGCAACGAACATGCTTGTGGCCGATGGGCAGCCAGCGACAGTTTCCATCGTTGCTCAGTCACATGTGGAGAAGGCGTGGAGAGAAGAAGGTTTGTTAACTGTGCCATTTTGGTGCATTGTTTATGAATCACCTTGTATATCTTTGAAGACCGACTGTACAATTTGTTTCTGGTAGTCTTGAGGATGTTTTTAAAATGTTCGATCGAAACTTGTGCAGCGAATTGCAACACTTTTAGACACTTTTTTTTCAATCAAGAAAAGCGACGTTCTTCTATGTAAAATCACTACCTGGTGTATGATATTGGCGTCAATAATGGCCAATCAAACTTATGGTGTTTTCTATTCTAATGGCAAATTTTACTGGAAAGCCACTGTTGAGGCCAATATTTCATATAAAAATTAGGGAGAAATTGCCCAGTTGGGCGTAATTTTCCACTCTGTTTATTGTTGCTGTTAGATAGCTGTTATATGCTGCTATAATAATAGTCATACTTTTCCTCAACCCTAGATTTGTCTGCAAGAAGTTTGATACTGAAGAAATCCTGGATCAAGAGTACTGTCGCGGCATTCGGCTGCCCAGAGAAGAAACCCGAAAGTGCTTCAAAGAGTGCGATGTACGCAAAACCAATTAAAACTCAACGAAAAAAAAATAACGAAAACTCTAATTTGCAGAGAATGGTTCCCTATCCGACATACGATAAGCAACGATACATTGTAAATGAGAACAGCGTCTATGATCGTTACGATAGATACAAGGTGTTCCAGTGGGTGGCTGGCAATTGGAGCGAGGTAGAAAATTTCATGCTGATTTGGGCCCAATTTACTTTCACTGATTGTATATTTCCAGTGTTCGCAAACATGCGATGGTGGGACGAGCACGCAAACGTTCCACTGTCGGAACGATCTCGGAGAAGAAAACCACTTGATGTGTGATCGGTACCAGAAGCCGCAAAACGTTATCCGATGCAACAACCATCCATGCCCGAAGTGGAAGGTGGGCGATTGGAGTCCGAACTGTGACTCGCAATGCGAAAGACATCGACAAGTCCGCTGTATGGACGATAAAAGTACGTGAATTTCACCACCTTTCAAACCCAGTTTGTTTTTAAGGATTTTTCAATTTCAGTGGCAACTTTCAGCGATAACCAATGCGAAATGAAACACCGACCACAAGACTCCTTAAAGTGTCCCTTAGTTGAATGTCCTGATGCTGCGAGCAGCATAAGCAGGAACTATTTCGATCCGAAGGAAAATGACGAGAACAGATTCAGATGGAAGGTTGGAGCGTGGAAGCAGGTGAGTTTCTCCTTCCAGTTCCATCCAGGCAAACGCATCCTGTATATAGTGCACTCAAAGTGCTTTCACAATTCATTGATTCTTGTGAGTAGCTTCACCATTCGCTCACCATCACAATCTGTAAATAGTGCTCCACCAATTGCGGAAAAGGCACCCGTAAGCGCATTATTGAGTGTGAGGATACACTCAATAATTCCCCAGTGGTCGATTCAATTTGCAGACATAAGCAAAGACCCAAAAACTCAAAACCGTGCGAACGGTACCAGTGCAAGTTCACGTGGATCGAAGGACCATGGGATACAGTAAGTTATTTTATATGCATCATGTCAGGCGTTTTAGTGCATTTTTTGCTTTTCTCCACCATGCTAAGTAAAGAATGTTTAATAGATTTTTTTTAAACATTTTTCGGGGGGGTGTACAACCTTTGATATTTTTTTAAAAATCCTGAAAAGCTTATTAAAACACATATCGCAACTATACTTGTAGAAATTATAGAGCTTTAAGGCTTTCTCTATGCAAAAGCGCAAAGTTCAAGTTTTCAAAGAAAGCTGTTTAACAGAAATTATTTTTTGAAAAATAGCCCGCAAAATGAATGGGCGGAAAAGTGTGACCGAACTTTTAAAATTCCTAAAAAGTCACTGATAATCACACAAGTTATTGATCTAATTTTCCTCTATAGATTATCGAAAATTTGTGGCAAATTATTTAGAGAGAAATTACTTTAAAAAAATACCACTGCCAAAATGGAGTATCAGAAAAGACGTCGTTAGTAGTAAAATTTTGTAAATTTCAAAAATATTACTTGACTTAACAGTCGCAACCAAACCTTAAAAGGCTCCAGTTGCTAGCAAAATTAATTGGTGAGACATACATTTTTGAAAAATTGCCTCCAAATTAGATTAACGGAAGAGACGTCGTTGGTGCCCATATTTTTGAAACGTTTGAAAAAAGCTTGCAAAATGTAGTGACGGGAAAAATATTGTTGGAGAAAACTTCATTAATGAGCAAATTTTGAAAATTCCTAAAACATTACTGAAACCACTATTCACTATAAATTTGCTGGCGGCTTTGTACTAAAGTTTAGCAAATTTAGTTTAACAAATAGACTTTTTAGAGCAGAATTCTCTCTAAATAATAGTGAAAAACGCAATTTGCTCGTAAAACTTGTTTGAGGCAAATTAAATTTTGAAAAATTGTTAGCCAAAAGTATTGGTGAAAAAAACGCCTTTTGTAATAAGATGCTGGAAATTACTAACAATTTACTGAAAACGTCTATTTCAAATAAGTTTCTATCAATTATAGCGCAAAATTCTCTATACACGATAACAAAAAACTCAAATTATTTGCTGTCCACTTTTGAGAGAAACTATTTTTTTAAAAGTCTTTTTTAAAAATGATTTGATGGACAAAACCGCGACTTGTGACGAAATTTCGAAGATTCCTGTATCTTTACTGAAAACTTTTAGTTCAAAATAATTTTTAACCAGTTGTAGAGCAAAGTTTTCTCTATACAATAGCCAAAAGTGTAGTTTTCTCGCAAATCTTGTTCGAGAGAAATAAATTTTTGGAAAGAGTCCGCACAGTGGATTGGCGAAAAAATCGACCTTGAAACTTCACGTTTCAAACAATTCTGGAAGATTACTCAGCTCACCGATCGCAATCAAAATTTAAGGAGTTATATGGTAAGATTTGGTCTATACAAGAACAATAGTTGCTTATCGTTGGTGATCAAATTTTTTAATATTTAAAAAAATAATTATTTGTAATTATAAGACAAGGTTTTCTCTATGCAATGACTAAAGAGGAAAAATTTAAATAGAAGGAGAAAAATACATTTTTGAAAAATAGAATGCAAGGCGAATTCGTGGAAGAAAACATCATTGATGAGCAAATTTTGAAAAATCCTAAAACAGTACTGAAACCACTATTCGCAATAAATTTGCTGGCGGCTTTGTAGTAAAGTTTTCGCTATACAACAGCAAAGAAAGCAAGTTTCTAGCGAAAGTCTTTTGAGAGAATAACATTTTTGAAAAATAGCCTACGAAATTAATTGTCGGAAAAGGCGTCGTTGCTGAGAAAGTTTTGAAGCGGCCTGAATAGTTATTGAAAATATTGATTGTAATTATACTTTTGCAAATGATGGAGCAAAGCTTCCTTTATACAACAAGTAAAAACGGAATTCGATAGCAAGACTCTTTTGAGGGGAATTAATTTTTGAAAAGTAACCAGCAAAATGTATTGGAGGAATTCCTAAGAATAAATTGAAAACCTTATTGAAAATAAGCTGATAGCAATTATAGAGCAAAGTTTTCTCTATACGATAGTTCGAAGCGGCATAAGTGCGATTTGCCAGCAGAACTCCTTTAATGAACAGATTTTTGAAAAATAGATTGCTGGAAGATACCGTCCGTAAATTATGTCCAAAATTTGAAAATTTCTACAAATTTACCGAAAACCTTTTATTGCAAATAACCGACTAGCAATTATAGAGCAACGTTTTCTCTATGCAACGGTAAAAAGCGCTATTTGCTAGCCAACCTCGTTTGACAGAAACAATTTTTTGAAAAATGGTCTACTAAATAGGTTGACCACAAAAACGTCGTTTGTGGCCATAATTTGAAAATTGCAAAAATATTTCTGGAAACTATAGCAAATAGACTTTTTAGAGCAGAATTCTCTCTAAATAATAGTGAAAAACACAATTTGCTCGCAAAACTTGTTTGAGGCAAATTAATTTTTCAAAAATTTTCAGCCAAAAGTATGGGTGAGAAAAACGCCTTTTGTAATAAGATGCTGGGAATTACTAAAAATTTACTGAAAACGTCTATTTCAAATAAGTTTCTAGCAATTATAGCGCAAAATTCTCTATATACGATAACAAAAAGCGCAAATTATTTGCTATCCACTTTTGAGAGAAATTGTTTTTTTAAAAGTCTTCAAAATGATTTGATGGAATTTCGAAAATTCCTGTATCTGTACTGAAAACTTTTAGTTCAAAATAATTTTTAACTAGTTGTAGACCAAAGTTTTCTCTATACAATAGCCAAAAGTGTAGTTTTCTCGCAAATCTTGTTCGAGAGAAATACATTTTCGGAAAAGAGTCCGCACAATGGATTGGCGAAAAAAGCGCCGTTGAAACTTTACGTTTCAAACAATTCTGGAAGATTACTCAACTCACCGATCGCAATCAAAATTTAAGGAGTTATATAGTAAGATTTGGTCTATACAAGGACAAGAAGCGCTAGTTGTTGGTGAAACTCGTTTAAGATAAATTAATTTTCGAAAAATGCCCAAAGTTTGAAAATTCCAATAAACTTATGTACTTTGTTACTGTAATCATTGATTGTAATTATACATCTACAAATTAGGAGCAGATTTTTTTCTATGGAACAGCGCAAAGGAAAAGTCAGGAGCGAAAGATGTTTGAGAGATATTAAGAAGAGAAGCTGAAAAATCGCTTTTGCAAAATTTTGAAAAAAAATATATCAGTAGAATCCAGAACAACTTAAACTGACTAGAAATCCGGTTTATGTACACTAAAACAGTGTGAAATTAAACCTTCTTTACTTAAGTAGTGCCTGCATGGTAGAAAATAGATCACTTTTCTCAATAACTGCTGAACACTTACTGGTGCACTATGAACCCACTTGCGTACTTTAGGACGTATTAATGCCCTTTATACAGTGTGTAATTACATACTTTTTCAGTGTTCAGCTACTTGCGGGCATGGAACCAAAACTCGAAATGTTACCTGCCACAAAGTGCATTTGGGAGGCGTTGTGGATCCGATTCCTTTGGCCGAAAGCCAACATCGGATGATGCACAAAAGCTACTGCGACATGTACACTAGACCATCCAGCAGCAGTAAATGCCTGTTGAGCCACTGCGGAGATGAATATATGTGGCAAGCTGCCGAATGGAAGCCTGTTAGTAGATTTTTTGATAAATTTAAAGAGCCGTTGAAAATAGATGGGAATTTTTTCAGTGCACTCATGCCTGCGGACGAAAAGGACGGCAATTTAGAGTGCTGAATTGCATCAGCGTGCGTACCAAACAAAAAGTACCGCGCCACTTCTGCCCGAAGAGCTTGCGGCCGATAAAGAAGCGAAAGTGCAACCAGTGGCGATGTAAGTTGTTTGCATTCCCAAAGGGGTTTTTTATTTGAATTTTTTTTCCAAAGGCTTGTATAAGAGCTGTAAAGAAATCAAGGACTACATGCGCACAAAGGAAAACAGAGATTATCTAATTACGCTGCACGGTAGAACTGTTAGTGTGTACTGTTACAAGATGGACACTGCGGATCCTCAAGAATACATCAGCTTACACGCTGACAAGGAGAACTATGCTGAAATTAATAACCGAAGGTATCAGGCAAAATAGATTTTTCCCAAACCCAAACTACTCCAACTGTTGTTTCAGGTTAATGAATTTAACAACGTGTCCTTATGGTGAAGAGAATCAGGAAAACTGCCCGTGCAACTTGAGGAGTCCGCAAAAGTCTGGAGTCACTCGCTTTTGGAAAGTGCGACTGAATACAACATCCCTGGAAATTATAGGTTTGCTCTCTAAAAACTCAGGAAATGTTTGCTTTAAGGTTTTTCGTTTTTTTTTTCGTAATTCAGGAGATGATTTTACTTTTTCTACCCAAGTGAATGGCACCCGAATTGCGTATGGTACATCTGGAGATTGTTACAGTCGCTACCCAAATGGGTGCCCGCAAGGACGATTTTCCGTCGATCTAACCCATACATCGTTCAAGATTGCCAATTATGTGAGATGGAAGAACACTGGACGATATCCGTCCAGTCAAATTTATCGGCCGGTAAGAATATGTTCGCATAAATATATACAAACCAACAGATTTTTTCCTTTGAATGAAGATAACCGCATTAAAAGTTTTTTGACGTTGAGTCATGAGTAAATCGCTAATTTCTTTTTGAGAACTAAAAAAATGCATAACGCACAAAACTACCTGGATTCGCGGAAAAAACATCGCTTGTGATCAAATTCTGAAAATATCTGAAGAACTACTGAAATCATTGAGTATCATTATGCTTCTTATAGAGCAAATATTTCTCTATACAATAGCGAAACTTGGTAATAAACTAGTTAGAGGTAAATAATTTGTTGAAAAATGGTCGCCAAAAGTAATTGTCGGAAATTGAGAGCAGCCAAATTTTGAAAATTTCTAAAAAACTATTAAACTCCCCAATCGCAATTAAATTTTAAGGAGTTACATAGTAATGTTTGCTCTATTCAACGACAGAAAGAACAAGTTGATAGCGGACGCTGTTTGTGAGAAATGAGTTTTTGAAATATAACCCGCAAAAAATGTGTTGAACGAAAGGCTCCGTCGGTGAGAAAATTTTGAAAATTGATAAAATAATTTCTAAAAACGCTGACTGCAATTACACTTCTGGAAATTATGTCGTGAAGCTTTCTCTATTTGCCATAAAAACAAATACGTTTCTAGCGCAACTCGTTTTGAGTGAAATTGATTTTTCAAAAATCGGTCTGCACAACTGATTTGAGGAATAAATCGTCGTTGGCAACTATATTTAGGAAATTCCTAAACAATTTATCAAAGTGGATATTGCAATTGAACTTCCCTGGATAATAGACCAAAGTCTTCTCTACAAGCATTAACTCATATTTTCCACACAACTCACAACTTCCAAAGTTCCTAGTCGAGTGGAGTACACTTGCGACTATTTATTTTCGCTAAACTTACGTTTTTAGTTACGAAAAGTAAAAATTTCGGGCCGATTAAAGTTTGAAAATCAACTAATTTTGTTACAATTGTTCTATTACTTGTTTCATAACTTTTTTGTATTCTTACAGTCGAGCACATTAATTCAGGGGATTTGCGGTGGCTTCTGCGGCGAATGCGTGCCAGATCCTCAATATGGAGGCCTCAAAGTGGAAATAACTTAGCTAGCAATCGCTAGCAGTGAGAAATGGTAAAACCAACTCGAAGGACGGTGAAATGATTAATTAGAAGCACCAAAAAGAGTGAGAGAAAAAGTATTATAGCCATGTGAGGTTACATAAAGGCAGGCCGTTTATGTATTTAATATTTCTATCAATTTGGAGAAGTTTTACAAGAAAAAATGGGATTTATCAGTGCAGCAAAATCACCATTAGTGAGTGGATTGATTTGAGTGTGGAGGATTTGTATCTAAACGGGCCTTAAGTTGGATTTGTAAAGTTTGTAAATCGGTTTTTTAGCTGGAATTTTTAAACGCTAGTATGGCAGCTTCAAATGATATGAAGATGGTCTAATGAAGAAAAAAAAGTTGTGAAATGTTGACTCGCTTTAACGGATTTAATTGTTTTTACTGAAATAAATTAAAACTACAATGCATTTTGTATAAAAAAGATTGAGATAAATAATAGATAAAAAAACAAATACAAAAATAAATCCAGCTTTTGGTTGTCACTCCTCCGTTTCAAATCTGTCTGTAGTAACTGCCTAAAATATTAATCCTAAAATTTATTCGTAGCGATTTTACCATGCATTTATTTTTTAATTAAACGTTCTTTAATAGGCGAAAAGGTGATATCTTCATTGGAGGCATTGCACAGATTATTAATATGAAGACAGATTTAATTTTAGTGTAATAGTAGAGTCACACTAAGGCAAGCAATATTTGCAGAAAATACTCAAGTGGAACAAGGAACAAAAAATCCTAATTCATGCATTGGAAAGGAAAGAAGCACTACAGATTAGCTTCTTGTGCTCCTTTTCTATCTAATAATGCTTACAGAGTGTCCCTTCTGTACACCTTTAAAAAGAAAATAGCATATATTTTCCTTCCATACACCCTGTATAAGCTTGCCTGGAGCCTTAGTTCAAGTGCCTTTACCTTACCCAATTAAATTTAAAGCCATAATAGCTGGAAAATTAATTTGTAAAACACTTTTTCCAGATTTAAATTGGATAGATGTAGCGGAGATGCCTTATGTTTAAGTATGTCCACAATGGTATTATATTGTTTAAACTGCCAAAACAATTAATGTACAAATCCGTATTGCTCTGCACCTCATATTGAGGTGATACTTAATTTAGCTGAAATTGTATGTATAATAATAAAATATTTTAAGTGTTAATTTATATAACCAATGTTCGAGTACAGGGCGATTGTGTTGAAAGCTGACACAGAAAATCGGCATTCTGCAACACCCTGTATATAAAGAACATTATTTCTGCCATGACAAAATGTCTCGATTATATAGATTTTTTTGTTGTTGCCATACTTATTTATTTTTAACCGCGTATGGTTCATGATGTCCGTAATAGTTGGACTAGGCTTGGACTTAATCGAGTAAAACCACAGTAAAAAAATACATGTAATAAACATACCAAAGGAATTGAAAATGTCCAATACATACACTATCATGAACTAAACGTGTTTTTTTCTTTTTAGTTAATTGCGACTTCAATATCGACATTGTTAAAAGGGGCTACTTATTTAAGATACAACGAAGAACGTTGATATATTGCTAATGAATGGTCCCTTTAATCAATCGTATACTAATTTAAAGTGTAATTCAGCCATACTGCCACGTGTACATAATTGTAAAATATTTATTTTATTTTTAAGAATATAAAACACAATTTTTCGACTGGTAAATTTGAAACTATAATTGAAAAAAATCGGCTTTTCAGTTGCCAAATATGTTTCGTTTTTTTCTTTTGCAAGTAAATATGGCAGCTTTTTATTCGCATTTGTTATTACTATTGTAAAGACTGTTAAACTACTAAAAATGCTAATATATATCAAACAAGAATTAATGCTGTTTTTTTTTTCATTTCCTTATATTTTCCTGTTTTTTTTAACATCCTTTCTGCCGACATCCTGACTAACCCAAGCTAACCCAAATATTTGGTTTCTCCTTTAGCGTTATTTTAAATATAGCGATACCGTTCCATTGCTCTGGATAAATTGTTATCTTCTCATTTGAGAAGTTTCGACAAAGTAGTAAAACTCTATTATTTTATTTTAATTTTATGTAGGTATATTAAGTCATTTATATCAAATATTTTGTTCAAACAGCAATTTTTTTTCAAAAGTACCTTCAAAAACCATTTACAAAATTCTAAAAACATAAATTTAGGGACTAAGCGTGGGTAACTCAGTGAATTTTCAGGAGTTAGCGCAGTGATACCGAAATGGCTTGGTGCGTCAACACAACGCACCGGCACAGTAACTCACTGGTGCAGTAGCGGCAAAATGTTGCCCATAAAAGAATGGTTACCTTTTTTGTTAGGTGTTGAAATTTCAGAATTGAGCCTCGTAAAGCTTTGATCCGCCACATGCTAAGCGTAATCAAGAGTGCGGCACCGTGAAACGTGAAGAGTAATAACGAAAATCATCGTTAAGAAAAATTTCTCAGGATTTCAAAATACTATTGCGAGACAAATTTCGAATTGAGTTTTTCGAATACAAATTTCTCAAAAACAAAAATTACTCTAAAAGTTCAGAGTGGTGTGGTCAGTAGAGACTAGTGCGCAAGAGCGGATCCAGGGGGGG